ATCTGCGCAACGTGTTAGACGTCAAGTTTCGCAATGCCGCGATATGACGGAGCCAGCGCTCCAAAGTTCATCCAGTTGCTTGACGATTAACGTGGCTAGTAATGGATGCTATCAGGCTTTTTGGCCTCCGGCGGGCTGTTCACACACATTCGCGGGCTGTCAATCCGCTTATTGCCCATTGGTCCCGAACCCTGACATTCCGGCCCGTCTCCCGCTGGCTCGGTGCGGACGGGCCGATCCCGGACAGAGGGCAGACGCAGCACAGTGAATTGTGCGTCGGGGGCAGCAGAATGGAAAAGATATCGCCATCCTTGCCGCCCGCATGATCGCATGCTGCTCCACTGGACGGAGGCCATGACTGGACCAACAGACTTCCCGTGGTCTGGGGCCTGTTGCTCCTCCCAGCAGTGACAGAGATGATTGACCACTGACCCGGTGCTGGGGCGTGGGCCTCGCAGGTCACGAACGGAGCCTGCCTCGCCTCGGGTCTTGGTCTCCAGCGCCGGGGCCGGCTCTCGCGCGTGTGCGTCGGCGGCTTGTCAAAACGTGCCGCGACGCGTGCATGTCTTGACAAATGTCCGTGGCGTGCACGTATGCCCGTGGCGTGCACGAGATGGACTCGACAGACAAACAGACGAAACCTTGCGTGATGTTCCGAGGGACGGATTTGGTTAGAGCTGCGCCGACGACAGCGCCCGGCCAGCTGTGCCGACCCCGGCGTAACAGGCGGACGGCACCTCGCCGCGCCTGCCTCCCAGCGGCCGTGGGTCGGTCCTCGCTGGAGGCGGGCCCGCCCGGCCAGCTGTGTCGACCCCGGCGTAACAGGCGGACCGCACCTCGCCGCGCCTGCCTCCCAGCGGCCGGCTGTGACCACGCCCACAGCTTTTAACGCCGCCGGCCGCTGACTCAGTCCACAGGTGGTCGGACGTTGTCTGGTCGGGGCATCGGCGTGGGCTAGTAAGTTTCGCCGCTGGCGAGAAGGCCGGGTAACCTTCGGACGCTATGGTTTAGAATGTATGTGTCGGCTTATCCCAGCTTTTAACGCCGCCGGCCGCTGACTCAGTCCACAGGTGGTCGGGCGCTGTCTGGTTGGGGCATCGGTGTGGGTTAGTAAGTTTCGCCGCTGGCGAGAAGGCCGGATGACCTTCGGACACTATGGTTTGGAATGTGTGCGTCGGCTTATCCCAGCTTTTTATTCATAAATGGAAATGATGTGATGACTCTACTGAGAAGTGGCCAGAGTATGGCCAGTGAAGGCGGTCCCCGGAGCTGCAGCCGTACGCAACATTGCGCTCCAGAGAGGTTGCTGGGATGGCGACTGCAGCAACTGTGGAGGTCAACAGTACGACGTAACTGTCGAGGTAGGCGTTAGGTCACCGGGTCCCGTCCGCTGTAGGTCGCGATGGTTACTCCATGCGTAGTCCCAGACTGGCATGGGTCTGATCTCGGCCCGACTCTGACTCTGACAGTGCTGCCGCTTCGCCACACAGGGTCGGCAGTTGGGCCACGGCGGGCCGGCTCCGTGCGTCTATCTTGCCGCTGTAAGCCGTGTCCTTGCTTGTAATCGTTATTGCCCGGACAATCTGCCGGCCGTCGGAGGGGGGGGGGGGGGGGGGGGGGGGGGGGGTAGGTAATTGCTGCTCGGTGGCGTTGGCGGCCCGTCTGATAGGAGATCGATACTCCAAATACGCCGAGACATCAGACAGACCGCCGCCCACCGACTGCACATGGGGCGGTGGTGATGCTGCCCTGGCCAGACCGCCGCCCACCGACTGCGCGTGGGACGGTGGTGATGCTGCCCTGGCCAGACCGCCGCTCACCGGCTGCGGCGGTGGTGATGTGGCGGTGGTGATGCTCTGAATGCTGTGATACGGTGAGCGTTGTTCTGAAGGCCCGGAACGCAGCTCTGCTCGCAGCGAATGTGGCGCAGCGGCGTCTCATCCTTCCATGTGATACACACCAGTCCAGGGGCCTTGTACGACCTTATGAAGAGGGTGAACCACAGCCCGCCTTAATGCCTCAGCGAAGTGTCAGGTGGATGCTGTCCTAACCGTACGTGACGCCCGGAGAGGTGCTGACCCGGTCCGTGTCGGCAGGGTGCCGGCATGATCCTCTCGCTGGAGAACTCGCTGGCTGAGCACGTGCGACCCAAGTTCAAGATGATCTTCGGCCGCACGATGGCGTTCGTGACGGGCCTGTACGTGGTGTTCGGCTGCTCCGGCTACATCTCGTTCGGCCCCGGTGAGTGCCATCGCGCCCTGGTCGCATGACAACGCCTCCAACACGGTCCACCGCACGGGAACTTATCGTGTATGCACAGCGTGATGTGAGTTGGGGCAATCACGCAGGACGCCGCTCAAAATATTCAGTAAGGGAGCGGTGCCCGACAACCTCCGAAACTATTTACGAGGCTGTGCACTAGCCATAGGTGATGCGCCTTATATAAGGCTGTGCTGCCTGCATGTTTACCGTTACAGTGGGCTTGTAATATTCGTTCGCTGCATACAGTGATATCGGTCAATCTGTTGGCACTGCATGTGATGTGGAACAGCTGCTGGCCGCTTGAAGCCGGAGGATATCGGCCTACTCTTTCATATCCTTGGAAGGCAGTGCTGTTATGTGACCTACCGACCCGCTTCTGCGGCCTGACCCCGATGGCTGTCGTGTGACCTTCGCAGTCCTGTCCACAGGCGGACCCTGTCCTCTTTCCTCGGCCCCGCCGCGGCCCAGCTCGCCGGTGGTTGCTCTTCCGCCGCCGGGCGGGGCGCCGTTTCGCCGGTCGTCCCCGCTGCCAGGTGGCGTTCCGTCACACCTGTCACGCGTGACGTGACGTGACGTGACGTGGCGTAACGTGACGTAACGTGACAGGTCCGTCGCGGCCTGTCACGGGACGCGCCAGACCCATCACCTGCCACGGACCCCTCCGAACCGTTCGGTGTCCTGCCCGACCTTGCGCTCCTTTTCGACACCTTCTCCCTCCCCCTCCCCATTTACGCTGAGCCATTCGCCTCGCCTCCTTGTTAAAGAGGTGTACGTGTCACTTTTTGAAACCGCTTTCAAATACACGTGTCTGACCCAGATGGCGAATAATTTCGTTCTGAAAGCAGTATAACCACCAAGCATGGCTGTGTTTGTCTGTTTTACGCCAAGCACGTCATTTTCCGAATCTATTGATATTTCTGGCTTTGACGAACATGTCACATGCATTTCTCTTCCTTGGAGCGGCCAACGTATAGCGTTGCCGCTGACTAACCCTTGCCTGACGGTCGCTATGTTTAGATGTCTCTGTTGATGTGACTGATGGTGATGCCCGACTCCGCCTCGCTGGAGAGAGCGGCATTTCAGAGCGTGCCGCCTTGGATGCGGTACAAGTCTCCCCTCCGACCGTGTGTGCGTGTGTCCCCCTTTGACCGCGTGTGCGTGTCACATCTCCGACCGTGTGTGCATGTCTCCCCCTTTGGCCGTGTGTGCGTGTCACATCTCCTCTGACCGTGTATACATACCCCCTCCCCCTCTGGCAGGGTGTACGTCACCCCCTTTGACCACGTGTGCGTGTCACATCTTTTCTGACCGTGTGTGCATGCCCCCCCCCCCCCCACCCTTTGGCAGTGTGCGCGTATCTCCCCCTTTGGCCGTGTGTGCGTGTCACATCTCTGACCGTGTGTGCTTGCCCCTCCCCCCTGCCCGTGTGTGCGGTCTCCATTCTGACGGCGTCTTCGTCTCTCCTTGCGATGCCGGGCGGCTGCAGAGACGCGCGAGATCATCACCCTGAACCTGCCGGATAGCGACGGCGTCATCGACTTCGCCATGGTGGTCAAGTGCTGCCTCTGCTTCTCCCTCTTCTTCACCTACCCGCTTATGGTGTTCCCCGTGGTGACGATCATCGAGAAGCGGCTGCCGGCCAGCTACAACACCACCTTCCGAGGGGTCAGTGACCTCAGGACGCCGGAGCGGCGCCGCGGCGCTTGAGGGGCGGGTCCGGCCGGATCCGGACTTGCGGCGTCAGGGCTGCCGCTCTGTGGTCCGCCGCTGTGACCTCAGACGCCGGCCGGCGCCTGCGCCCGCCGGGTCGAGGGCTGGATCCGGAATCGCCGGCGGTACGGGGGCGCCCGCTCTGTGATCCGCGCACTGCTGTGATTGACTCCGATGGACACGTGTCAGTTGCGTTCGCTCCAAGTTCTGTTCGGTCCCAATCTGGTGGTCATTGTGTTGTATAATGCTGTCAGGTCCGTGCCGTGTACAGTCGTGGACGGTGCTTCGGGCCATCTAACGCGGGACGCTCAGTGCGACTCTCAGTACGCTGAAGGGCCGTCTGCAGACCCGCAGAACGCGCTGCGCCTACTGCTGGTGCTGACCTCCGGCCTGGTGGTGGTGCTGATCCCCAACTTCGCCAACCTGATGGCCATCATCGGCGGCACGTGCTGCACCCTGCTGGCCTTCATACTGCCGGGCCTCTTCCACCTCAAGCTGCGCCGCAGGTTGGTGCGGCGGTCACGACCATTCGTTCACGTCACATCAGCCGTAAACCGCGCGGAGACGCTCTGGTGTGAAATCAGCGATTTTTAGTTGCTGAATCTCGAATTTATTGCTTCTGCTGTATTTTCCATGAGACGAAGCGAGCTTTCGTGTCGTTGTCTGTTGGAGTGGGCAGATTGCATCGCGTGTAAACAGTCTAGAGCGCGAAATAAAGGTGGCATGCAGCGCTTCCAAGATAAGTTCAGCTCGCAAGAAATTGAGAGTCAACCTGCGTACACGTTTTGTTCCACGTTTTAGGTCGATATCGCCCCGAGAGAAGTATTTCGACATCTTCCTGATATGCATCGGCATGCTGGGTGCCGTCATCGCGACGTCGGATGCCATCTTTCGGATGTCGCAAGAGGCTGAGGTTCCGGCGCCTCCGCTGGAGGGCCTGACCCCGGGCGTGCAGGTATCTTGGTCTGCCGCGCCGGCAGCCAACGCGACTGCGGCGAGTCACCTGCCGCTGTCAGGCCCGATCACGGCTTCCGTCGCGACGTCGCCGCCGAACGACACGCTCTTAGCAGCGAACGGCACGCTCTTAGCAGCGAACGACACGCTCGCGGCTGCGGTGAACACGACTCTCGCGGCTGCCGTGAACGCGACTCTCGCGGCGGCCGTCAACGCCACGCTGGCGGCGGCCGACGCCGCCGGCGGCGCGCTACTGCCGGCCGTCAGCTGATACCGGAGCAGTGACGTCACGGCGGCCGGCCGGGCGGACGTCATGGGCTCGGTCGGCGCCTGGTGACGTGTGGGGTGCTGGCGGCGGGCTGTGCTGGTGCCAGGGTACTGCGCGGCACGCCGTGGCTCCAGCCGCCGCCGCCAGCGTGTGTCAGTATTGCAGACCGTGGGAGCGAACGGGGGTCCATTGTGCGGGTTTATGGAGGGCGCGAGCGTCGCCGTGACTGTCATGATAATAGCTGCTGCTGCTGTGTGTGCGGTGAGCGCGGCCAGCTTTGTGAGTACCAACGCATAGTCAGAGGGGCTCCGTGCGGATGGCGTCGGCTCCTGGGCGGACGGCCGGCGGCAGACGACAGTTCCGGGCTCCTCCCATGGGCCTGGGCGGACGCCGAGTGGGCATTTCCGTAAAAGACACTTCCCGAATGCTGTGCGTGAGTGGCATTGGATTTAGGGTGCATGCTGAGCAGAGCTTGTTGGTGGTACCGTGCGCATACCACTCGGGAAGAGCTACTTCAGTCAAACTGCCAGTTCGTCCTCCGGCAGCTTCGCCAGACATGACCATGGATGGGTCTTTCACACTTTGCAATATCATAACATGGCCGCCTGGCGCCAGGTTTGTCATCATTGAATCTGCCCTGACCAAATTCCCTCCCCATTTCTCTCTCCCTCCCTCGCTCCGTCCCTGGGACTCAAACTCAGGGCCAGTTGCCCTAGAGCCAAGCCCTCGCATCAGGAAACTCGGCCGAGACGGCATTTCCAGCGCTTGAGGGTCGGGCGTCGCCGCGTTCTCGTGCCAATGTGCGGCGGTCTGATCTGTGCCGCCGGCCACAGGGACGACATTGGTCGACATAGCTCAGTGTCACTGCCGCAGTCTTGGAATCGGTACCGTTCCCATGCCAGTGTACGGCACTCCGGGTGCGCCGTAAGGCTGAGGGTCCGCTCAGGGGCTGGGACGAACGCTGCTCTCGTGTAGTGTGCGAATGTCGGGCTGTTCTGAATGGTTGTGGCACGCTTCCCAGCGTTTGTTGTGATGGGACAGCAGGGTGCATTCCTTGAGGCCGCCTTCCACGCTCCTGTGCTGCTGAGTTCGAGCCGGAGCGAGATTATTTTACTACTCACTTGTTGTGATCTACCACGGAATAGTATTTTTGGAATAGTCTATTTTTGGGAGTGCGTTGGTCGTCTGCGGTGGTGTTGGGCGCCTGGTGCCGTTGGTGCTGACCCCGCTGCCCTGTGAGGGCTGGCCGCTGGTTGTCCTGCACTGCTCGCTGTCTGGAGGTCACTCGGCCCGGAGCGCCACCCGGGCGGCGCGCCGGCAGGGGCCGCACTCGTGCGCCACGCAGCGCCGTCTCCGGTGTGGGCCGGGCCGGGTCGTGCTGCCGCTCCCGGACGCTCGCGCCCGCAGCGGCTGCGGTCTGTGGGTGTGTGCTGGGCCGTCACTAAAAGGATGGAGCTGCGTCAGTTTCGAGCGCGGCAGTGACGCCGCCTGCGTTGGTCAGCTCATTTATAGACTATTTTAGTGAGTGACGTGCGAGTTGGGAGCGTCACCGGTCAGTGGCCCAGTGCCACGTTGTGTGCGCGTGTGTGTGAAATGTAAGAGGCGTTTTTACAGCGAATGTTGGTGTTGGTTACTGTTTCTGAGGTATATTTAGCAATACAAGCAAAGCAAATTTGTTGTTTTTGGCCAGGCTTCTGCGAGATTGGAAAGCTTGTCAGGAAATTAGACTCCATCTCGTATATTTATGGTTTCGATCATGCGATTTTATGCGTAGAAATTGTACACTGCATACACGTCGCATGCGCACAACACCACAAGTACTTCCAAAACAGTATAATAAATAGCGCCCGCTCATGCATTCGCAGTGGGCTTCCTGCCAGACGTAACAAGTAACAAACGCAGGCCCACTAACAGGGCAAGTCAAAGCTAGATTACATCAGTAATGCCGCCGACACGTAACAACGACTGGCCGTCGTGACCTCAGCTGATCGTAGCTTGGCTTGCGTTTGAGCCCATAGCGCGAGGACGGCTCGGAGGGACCGCCCGACGGCAGGGCACGCGCGTACTGCCACGGACGCCGTCCAGCCGCCATCGGTCGCCGCCACGGGCACCGTCCAGCCGCCATCGGTCGCTGCCAGGCGGCGGCAGCTGCTCGGTGGCTGGACGCACCGGCGCAGGCCCCGCCAACCAATCGGAGCACAGCCAGACCCGATCGGCATTGGCGTCACAAAGCACGGATTCAGGCACGAGTTTGTGTTTGTACACAATACAAACGCCGCACTCCTGCGTAAAACAATGCCACTGCCGTTAATACCAATTGCATTGCACTTTGCACGAACAACTGAATACGATGCCTGGGGACAATGGCGGCGGCTCATGCCAATTGCGAAGGGAATATGTTAAGCTGCGGGGAGACGGATTCTGACGTACGAAATATGCTAATGTACTGCGCTGAATAAACCTAACCCGGTTCAGGAGTCATCTAGGCAAACGCGGCTATGTGGCAGAAAAGCGGCACTATGTGGCGCTTTTATGTGGCGAAGAGCGACATTTTGAAACGCAGATGCTTTGAGGCTTGCGTGTGCCAAGTAAAGCACTATTATACGCTCCCAATGCTTATTCGCAGGGATGTCAGTAAAAGAACCACAACAAACGTGATTATTCTACTGTATCACTCCTTAAAGACCAAATGCTGATGAATAAGGGTGGCAGTGCAAGGCACGTGTCAGCCATGCTTCCAGTGCTCCAGGTTGGCTGCACCACAGGATTTTAAAAAGAGCCAGCTGATATCAACTGGGATGCCTGACTTCCCAAGTGAAAATGTCCTAAATGCGGCGAGTGCTCTAAAGCGTTACGGAAAAGTGAAAAATACGACCAAAGCCTTCAGTTGTCTTGGGTTAAGTCAGTCGGGCCAGGGGATGAAAGACGTTTTCTGCTGGATTTCAGTGTTCAGCCATCCAGGTAGAAAATAGAACGGGGTCCGACTACGAAGCTCAAATTTTCTACAAAGTAAGAATTTTAAAAGATTATAAGTTCCTGACGCGCCTAGTCGCCACTTATCGCACCGCCGTCTGCACTGCACCCTGCGGGCGGGGCCTGTGCGGATGGGCCCTATGCGGACGGGCCCACCAGGATGGGCCCTATGGGGACGGGCCCATCCGGGTGGGGCCTACGCGGACGGGACGCCAGTCATGAGAGTCCGTCACGAGCCGCTCCGGCCCGCCACGAGCACGGCGCCGCGCCACACAGACAGGCGGAGCCGTATGCGCCCGACACACACGGATCATTACACGAGCCCGGCCAACGTGTCCAGCGCACCACATCTCCACAATCTCACGCGCCACCACGGTCTCGGCGCCACTGCCAGTCCTTAACAAACACACGCGCACACAACGTTAGTGCGATGCTGAGCAACTAAGTAAGGGGACACCCGGTGCCTGAATCCGTGGTCATCGCAATCCAGCGACGCGCACTTGAACTGTGACGTCGACAGATCAGATGCCCATTGCCCACCGCTCCACTTCGGCGATTATGCCCATGATGCCGGAGCACAGCTCGGCACGCGGCGCTCGGCCGCCGCGCTGCCGCAGGGGCTCGGCGCCCCGTGAGTCGGTGCGGGACCGAGGCGCGACCGGGCCCTCTTCCCTCCGCCGGGCGCCGGCCGCCGTCGTGTCAGCGTCAGTACGGCGACTCGATGCTGATGAACTTGGAGATGTACAGCATGATGTCCATGATGGAGAAGTCGCACTCATACTCGTCCTTGCACTCCTTGTCCTTGTTGGTGACGCCGAAGAGGGCGGCCTTTTGGCGCGGCCCTGGGTAGCCATCAGGCCTGGCGGACAAGGTAGAGCTCAGTCAGCCGCATAATCACAGGGCAAAGCTCAGTCAGCCGCACAAGCACGCAGCAGAGTTCAGTCAACCGCACAAACACGGGACAGAGCTTAGTCAACCGCACAAACACAGGGCAAAGCTCAGTCAACCGCACAAACACATGGCAGAGCTTAGTCAGCCGCACAGACAGGGTGTGGGCATGATACGTTGGCTTGCATCACCAAGTAGAGCGTAGGCTAGCCATCACTATCACCCAGCTGCATCGGTGCTAGCCATCACTATCACCCAGGCGGCTGGGTGATAGTGATGGCTAGCACCGATGCTTTCAGGCCGCCGCCGTGTATCGAGGGGCGCCGTCCTCGTACTGGCGTCCGACCGTCGGGACGTTGTTGAGCTCTCCCAGCGGAGCGCGAGACGACTCGGAAGTGTGCATGCCGGGGAAGGGGGAGGAGACCGCGAGGGACGCCTATCCCGGGCATATCCCAGGATACCGTCACTGAAATTAGGCCTCATCCTAAGATGCAATGGTTAAGAAGAAAACAGCAATTGTAATGTATTTGTGTGTAATATATATATATATATATATATATATATATATATATATATTTATATTGTGTGTGTGTGTTTGTGCGCGCGCGTGTGCTTAAAAATTTATTTTTCACATGCATGACATATCTTCAGAGACCTTCCATCAGCAATACAACTATCGTGTGAAGCAGTTGCCCCAGAAGGCGAGGTCGTAGATAACATTTTCAGACATTTCTCTCACTAGGTTGACCTTTTGCTGCACCTCGCTGCAAGGTTGAGACTTCGGATCTGCCTGACGCTCCAGCTTCAGCGCTCGCTACGGCTGGAGTCCCAATCTCGAGCAATGCAATAAAAACGACTGACGTTTTATCATCGGAGAGGGGTTGATACTACACGTGTCAGATGGAGCTCAGCAAGTGTGATGAGTTATAGAGGGCATCCTTTTCTTCATACAATTTACTACTTGAACGGGACAATGTTAACAACCATTCGTGAGCTGGTGGTGAAAGCCAAACACCTGCGATATGACACCCTCGCCAAGATTCAAAGCTGACACGAATAGTGTCACCTGACTTCGATCTCCGTGATGAATGCGTATGCCATGGTTAGTGTTGGATATCGCTTGGTGTGTTCATAACTGGAACATAAGACAGATGTTTGGTATAACAAATATGGGGAATAATGAGTCCCAACAACGAATATCACAAGACCAGCGCTGTTTAAATGAACATACGGGACGTTGGTAATTTTACGTGCGTTACGCAAAGCGGCAGAAATGAATTCTTGCCTCGTCAAGTAGTGCTCTAAATATTGACTTTGGTAACATTATCATTGCTAACCTTTCTGGTGCTTGCTGAACATACGTAGCATAAGTTGTATTTATGTATAGCATAATTATGAGTTACTGACTCAACTTCACTCACCGTTCCTGATGAGAGGAAGAGTTCTACTCAGGTAGAAACACATTCAAACGTATAGGTTTATGCATGATGTATAAATCATACAATAAACTGATGTATACGCATCGTTGTTTTTAGGGTACTGGGCCAGGCGCGATTTGACAAATAATTCGGTGATCTGCATTCTGTGTGATCATTATGTGATCAAGTTCGCGACTGTCTTCTTCATGACTTCAGAGGAAATCTAAATCAGGTTTTGCGGAGTTCTAACAGCAAAAGCTCTCGGGAGGTCCCGGAATGTGAACTTGACAGTCACGTGCTTCCGCAGTTGAGAGAGTCTGGGAATGGCATGACAACCAATCTCTGACCATGCGATCACATCTCCCGTGGAACATCCTGAGCTAGAAAAAGTACGCGCTGCGGTCCTTTCGAAGCTCGCAAACGAATTCCCATCTGCTGAAACAGCGGCGAGCTAACCCGCCCGTGCCATGCAGAGCAGCGCGGAGCTATCTCTCTGCTCCCACGAGCACCAGAGGGCAGCGGGCGCGCGCTGCGTAAGGATGTGCGTCCCGCGGAAGCTGAGCCTTATAAGGGCAGGCGAACGATTGATGATAATTCTCCAAACGACCAAATATTTGCATAAAGAACCCATCAGCTGTGTGTATGCCCTGTCGCATTCGGACAGCCAAACCGTTTAAGGCTCTGCTAATTTCGGAGGCTGCTGATGAAAGGAGCGTCGGAGCTTGGGCAGCGCAGTTGTGTAGCGCCCATTTCGTTGGATAATTGCATTATTCATGGGAGCGTCAGAGATATTTAACTAGGCACCGTTTGACAGACGGATTGGCAGTAGAACCAATTTACGCCAGACTGATATGGTGTAGTCTTTGAGATGCACATCACTTTAAACTGAATCCACATTTGGACCGTAGTCCATGCTTCAATGGAAATTCTGCCCCAGCTTGCGCGGCAACCGCTCTGTTCTCTGGTTCTCACGAACCGGAGAGATCAGCTCACAGCCCGAACACATGGCGGAGGCAGGTGTGTGACGCTGAACTTTGGCATCGTGGGCTCGGCTTGGTCCTTGGGCGACAGATTCCAGGAAGAGGCCTGCCACCGAGTGTACCTTACGGCTTGGTCCCTGGGCGACAGATTCCAGGGAGAGGCGTGCACCGAGTGTACCTCACGGATGATGAAATCCGATGGGTGAGGAACGGGGCATGCTGGACAACGGGACACGTTGCGGACGGGCGGGGACGGGCCGCGCCGGATCCCCTGGTGGTGCGTTCCGAGGTAAGCCGCGTACTTAAACCCACAGAGAACATACTGGTGGGTGGGCTAGGTCACGTTCATGAAGACCCATGACCGTGACGCTGCCGCTGATGATCAAAACAACTAAACCCACGCCACTTCAAAGTATTCCTCAGCGGGCACGTCAAAACGCCAAACGATGCAAATTATACCATCTTCCCAGCAGCCGTCGTGCAAAATAGCGCACCAGCTCGCTGCTAACGACTCAAGGACTAGCCCAAAGGCACAACAATCAGTCACAACCAAACTGGCAAAAAACGCACTTAACTGGCTGAGACGTCCCGTTTCGGCATTGCTATTTTCAGAATCTTTCCCCGTCACGTGGGGCGATTGATGGAAAGGCCGGCCAGCTGGGGTCATGTATCAGCAGGCCTCCCAGGTCGGCCAGCTGGGGTCACGCACCAGCAGGCCGTCCGGGTCGGCCAGCTGGGGTCACGCGTCAGCAGGCCTCCCAGGTCGGCCAGCTGGGGTCATGCATCAGCAGGCCTCCCAGGTCGGCCAGCTGGGGTCACGCATCAGCAGGCCTCCCAGGTCGGCCAGCTGGGGTCATGCATCAGCAGGCCTCCCAGGTCGGCCAGCTGGGGTCATGCATCAGCAGGCCTCCCGGGTTGGCCAGCTGGGGTCATGCATCAGCAGGCCTCCCAGGTCGGCCAGCTGGGGTCATGCATCAGCAGGCCTCCCAGGTCGGCCAGCTGGGGTCATGCATCAGCAGGCCTCCCAGGTCGGCCAGCTGGGGTCACGCATCAGCAGGCCTCCCAGGTCGGCCAGCTGGGGTCATGCATCAGCAGGCCTCCCAGGTCGGCCAGCTGGGGTCATGCATCAGCAGGCCTCCCAGGTCGGCCAGCTGGGGTCATGCATCAGCAGGCCTCCCGGGTCGGCCAGCTGGGGTCATGCATCAGCAGGCCTCCCAGGTCGGCCAGCTGGGGTCACGCATCAGCAGGCCTCCCGGGTCGGCCGGTGCCAGTCGTTACGTGCGAGGGCGCCGTCAATTCCGCATCAGCCACAACCAGGCGAAACGCTGCAGTACATAAATGACTTTCAATATGGTATATATATATATATATATATATATACATATATATATATGCATATATATATATGTACATATATATATATATATATATATATATATATATATATATATATATATATGTGTGTGTGTGTGTGTGTGTGTGTGTGTGTGTGTGTGTGCGTGTGTGTGTGTGTGTGTGTGTGCGTGTGCGTGTGTTAGATAAAATTGAAATATACACATGAGCATTACATAGCCATAAAAAAACAAATATTATGCTGCCATTTGTGGCATTCAAATATTTGCTTTACAGACCCTGGCTTAGATCACGTTTTCAACTGCCGGCGAGTGAGGGCGGTACAATGAGTCCATGTTAGATATGCATTAAGCCTATCCCGTTCTGGAAGTTAGGCGGTGGCTTGTGTGGCTTCCAATGTTCGACAATTCTTAAGCAATTCAGGCAGCAAAATAAAGCAATAACTCTAAGCCCGTCCACATTCTGAGGGTCTTTGAAGTGTGGGGTTATGGAAGCTGTCCAGTGCATTTGCGAGGAACATTATGCATATAAATAAGGCAAGATTTATGACCTTACTCCTCGTGAAGTAGCCAGGAGGATGGAGAGATAGATGCATTGATATTTTGGCTACATGCTTTAATCGAAACAATTATAAGTACTGCTCATATCACAGACTTCTGATATTTGTTCCAATATCAGCATGCAGCGGAAACATCAATACATCTATCTCACGATTTTCCTGGTTATTGTACGAGGAATAACGCTATTAGAACTGTCTTCTTCATGTGTGGTTGTGAAGATGAACTATGCGCATGCAAGGTACAAGAACGCTGTAATATTCATGTAACGCAAACATGACATGACCGCGATACAATATCAGCGACCGCAGTTTTCCTGCTGTTAGCACATCACAGGTATGTATCGATGGAAATTGAGCCCACCACCTCGAAGCATGATGATTAACGACCTCGGCTTACAGGCACGTGTCTCCCGAGGCGGTACGCCGCACCGGCCTCTGTGGAACCTACCAATCAACAAATGAATCGGCATGACTCAAACATCCGAGCCGCGTGCGCTCCCCCGATTTTGACGACAGAGCACAACACCGTCACGCCGCATATGCAACGCAGGGCATGCGCCTCTTTTTACATCGCTTCTTCCTACCACTACTTGGAGCCCTAGAGCGGTGCCACGGATTTTATTTTTGGCATAGTTTATGACTTTTTCGTTATTTAGCATCACAATGATAGATAAATATTGCAGGCAAAAAGTATGGACTCCTTACAACATCGCGGCGACTGTTTTATCCTGACAGTCGGCATACTACCGCCCTTCAAGGAGGAAAAAAACGGAAAAGTGAGCCACCCATCTGGTAATATGCCATAACACTTTTCGGTCCATTTCAAAGGGTTCTGGCCCATTCTCCAGAATTCATTTCAAAGAAGACGTCACATCACCCACCGCAATGAGCTCACTAAGCATTAACGCTTAGTCACGTCAATACAAGGGGCTGGGAGCTGATCCATTACAGCTTCACCATGCCTACACATTCGAGTGAGATCCCACCATGGACTACAGCTAGTTTTTGCAGGTGGGTGTATGCCGAGTATAATCGGCATAGAACGGTACTCAGTAGGTCACGTCTATCCGTCTTCCGTCTTGTTTGACATGATCGGAAAAACAGCCAGCTCTGCAATGTGTTATCCAGCCCTTCAGCGCCTCCTGAAAAGCGCATACAGGGTACTTGCCAAGAAACTAGTCGCTTCCGCTGTCTAGCACCAAACATGTAGCTTGGCTACATGCGCTATAGCAGCGTCGAAAGTACCTGGTGCATACCAGGCAGCAGTTTACTACGGAACTGGCCGGCACGTCGCCTGTGCTCAGCAACCTCAATCCTTGCCAAACAGTCGCGGGTGTCTCGAACGAGGTCACCGCGCCGTGAAACAGGCGTCTCGGGCGAAGTCACCGCACCGGTGGAGCCGCCAGCTGACGACATCGGTCTGACCGGTGTGCGCCAGAGTCTAGCTGTTCGCACCACTGTTGTGTGACGCTGGGCGCCACCACCGGCACATGGCAGCCAATGAGCGGCAGACGGCGTCCCGTTCTGCTATACCAGTTCAGCCACGCCGACCATCGCACGGCGCACACTTTCTCGTATTGGTATCTCCAGTATAAGCTATATATATATATATATATATATATATATATATATATATATATATATATAGTTCGTAGCCTATATACAACGTCCATATTAGTCTATATATTGTCTATATTAAACTTTCGCCACTAAATTCTCCCGTTACTTGAAGTTGAGCGATCGGATGGTTGGGGTCAGGGCTAACACAACAAGCACTGCTTAGCGTTAGCTCTGATCCTAGAAATCCATGCATTGAAAAGATTCGGATCAAATTTTAAAAAAGCATCATTGTTTGATTTCGTCATCGTATCTTTCACAACCGTGACTGAGAGTCAATTGACGGTCGTTATATATGACACTCGTCCTCACGAAGGCCAAATATGAATGACTCGACACTACTAATTTTTTTTCTTCATCTTGGCGTTGATCGCCTCATTGCCAATGCAATGACATGATTTGAACGCCACTATTTTGTTGTTATGGGTGGTTGGGTGACTTTGAAATAGTCTGCGCAAAAATCCCCTCATTCCCGGGCGTATAGCTCAGCAAATAGAGGGGTTTAAGTCTTAAGAAGGGCAGGGCTGTGAACTACACAGAATGATCTTCAAGATGGCTGCTTCATTTCGAAACCCCCTATCAGTGTGAAACACTCCCTTTAATGTGTGCTACGCTGACCACGGACGCCGCTTTGATAGCAAGGCAGTTTCGTGCGCCTTAAGTTCTCGGTTTGCCCAAGTCGTGGATTAATGCCTATCTTGCTCAAATTCTCTTCGCCGGCATTTCTCACGCAACGCGTGTTCCACATATCGCACGCATGATTCGGCCCGTCCCCCGAAGCCGCCAGTCCGGTTCTTATGAGTATGACCGGCCAGACACGCGGTGCACATCCTCTGAAGCGTGCGCTGTCCGTACTCGGGACCATTTAACGGCCACGGTCTCTTCGGCAAGATGTCCACGTGAAGAATCCCGCCATTGTAAACCATAGCATGTGCACTGTAACATGAACTGCTGGTGGCTGGCCTCGCGCTGCGCAGGGCCGTGCACACGGCGGGCGGTACTCACGGGTACAGAATCAGGGCCGTGCACACGGCGGGCGGTACTCACGGGTACAGAATCAGGGCCGTACACACGGCGGGCGGTACTCACGGGTACAGAATCAGGGCCGTGCACACGGCGGGCGGTACTCACGGGTACAGAATCAGGGCCGTACACACGGCGGGCGGTACTCACGGGTACAGAATCTGGATGGGCGTGGCCAGATAGCCGAACTTGTACGGGTTGCGCCAGACCTCGCAGGCCGTCTTCTGGGTGCACGTGTCGTCGGCAACCGAGCGGATCTCGTTGAGCGCGCTGTACACCAGGTCGGTGAGATAGTCGGCCGTGTAGGCGTCCTCGTCCAGGTCATTGCGGCCAGTGCGGCCCTGCACGTAGCCCAGCAGCGGAATGACGAACAGCACCACGATGGTGAGCACGGCCAGGAAGGCGAGCGACACGAGCGCCGCCGTGTCCAGCGTGCCCAGCGAGATCTCGGCCAGCGAAGGCACGCTGAACGCGAACAGCGGGATCGTGAAGGCGACTGTGGTGTTGAACTTGCCGGCGCTGTAGTTGGGACCGAACAGGAAGCGGCCTTGCACCGGCTCCTCCAGCGCAGTGTCGCCGGCGGCGCCGGTCAACAGCGCGGCTGCGCACGTCACCAGTAGTACCCAGCGGAGCATCCTGTGACAGGGCCACGGGGTCACACACAGGTACACCACCAGCAGTAGCTAGCACAGCGTTGGTCTTCTCCAATAGGAAGACTGGCCTCACACGGCTGGGGCAAAGTACCGCTGTAACGGGCTGGCGACTTGACAGTCTCGCTCATACCACTCTGCACGAGCAGTTAACGGGAAGTACATCAAAAAGATTAGCACCTCATGCCTTCTGTACAAACCACCGTCGAACATTTATCTGTGTTTATCCCCAAACCGGAGCGGTGAGTCTCAGTGTATCCTGTTGCGCCGGAATGTTGGCCCCTACCGGTAGTGATAGAAGAGCGAGAGCGTACAAAACAGGGACCAGAAGATCGGCATCCGCTACTAGTGACCCGCTCGTCATTGCCACCCTCTGTGGGGTGCGTGACTCGTGGGGTAGAGCCGGGCACCTCAGCCAAGTGACCTTGCAGTCTGCCACGTCACGAGAGAGGTCATGCTAACTCCGGTACGTGACCGCGGCGCCTGACACCTGCGGCCACCCCGATGCATATTACTACGACGCCGATCGTTCTTGATGCACCACGTACTGGCCCGGGAGCGGAAAGCCCACCACACTGGCCCACTGCCAAAAATCGTCACCTCACAGCGACGGAGGGGACGTGTTTTACGGCCCGGCGGCCTCGCCGGCCCGCCAGCCTGCCCAGGGGCCGCCGCGGGCCGCGGTGGAGCCGGCCCGTGCAGCGCGCTCCGGCCCGATTTGCATTCGGTGCTGGCCTGATCTGATTCGGCGCGTCGTCGCGGGGCTGGAGCGCGGCGGGCACCGTTACAGGGGCCGACGCGACGCGCTCGGCTCGTCAATAGTGCAGGACCGGCCTCCGGGGACGGCCTCCTCTCGCCAACCGACCTGACACACGTCTGCCCTATATCTAGTGCATGAACGGCCTCTTGGGACGGCTTCCTCCCTTCACTGACTTGACACATGTCTGCTCTACATATTGTAGAGGACCTGCCTCTTGGGACGGCCTCATTCCTCCACTAACCTGACACACATCTGCCTTAGTCTACACGAATGTGCTTTCTCAGGGCATGGGTGGGTATTTACCGATGTCTTATGCGTGCTATACGTATTGTGCTAGTTCATTTAAAGTAATGATGTTCATTATTTTTATTTGGGTTCGCCACCTCAGAGAAGAATTGTTGGATTTCAATGAATATCGCATGCATGCTCTTACCTGAGGCTGCGCCATTTCTCATTGTATTGCTACATATTACGCAATCTCATTTGAACTGGTACAGCCATACGGGATACGACCCCAGATCCACGAGAACGCGGCAAACCGGCCTGTAAGAAGCGACCGAACAGCTTTTTAAGTTCTTCACATGATTTTCAGTAATTTAGTGCATAGCACCACGTGTGATTGCCTCGCTCTGTATGCGTCTGAATTCACACATCAAGTCATGTTGCTTAAAATAAAGAAAACACTTGCAGGTTAGTGAAGGTGGGGCCACTCCTTAAAACCTGTACTGGTTTACAATTAATGGGAACGATAATATCGATTGCCTGCCGAAACACTTCCCTAAACATTGTTTGTTCTGTTTGTTATCGTGTTTGCCTCTGTGTCAATACGCCATTAACGTGTTGTGCAGCCAGGTGTCGCAACCCAAATCATCATCTTACACATGACTCGCGAGTTTTCACCCACCCCATGTCTAATATGCCTATTGAGCGAGTCACGATATTCGCTTCCGCTCGGCAACCCGATCACACAAATCGATCACGAATCTTGCAGGAAATATAGCGGGCACATGGTCTTTGCAGGAGGTGCCTTACGGTCAGCCAAATTAAGCAAGGCGGCGCATTTGGTATCACTGTCATCTAATGCTAGCGTCACCTTCCGGTTCTAATGACACGGTCACGGCAATTCGTGCGGTGCGGTGAGTTCGCCTTCGCCTCCGAGTTCTCAGGCCAGGTGTGTTGTACAGAGCTTTGTGTGCCATTAGGGAAACAACACTTCATGTAAAGAACAAATGGAGGTCCAGCATCACTAGACAACAGATGTCCAACGTCACCACACGTAGTAGGATTGGACGCTTCCAGGAGTCTTGTTCCGTGGTCGTGATCACAAGCACCCAGAGCTGGCAGCCACAGCCGTTGCTTCGGTGGCATGGTGCGGCTGGGTCTGCAAGTGCTCCAGCAAGCACATGTAATGGACGATCCACAAATCACTCTTGAGGCAAGCCGCGGCTCCACATGGCCCCGCGCGCGGCACTCGGGCTGAGTCGCCATGGTAACAAGCGACCTGACGGCGCGAGCGGCGGCTGCAAGGCTGCAGCCCTCTGTCATGCTGCGGAAGGCACCTAGAGCGGCACGCGGGTAAGGGGCGGAGAGCCACTTTGCCCGCGGCAGTCACGTGATGACTGCCAGGAAAGCGGCACGTTAACTGAAGGACGACAGCAGCTTTGCCACTATGTCTGCTGGTGTGGGTTTATAGTTATTAGCCAAGCTGAACCTCAATATGTACAGAAGAAGACACACGGTCTATAGAACAGCTTGTATGCTTAACCGCGGGCAAACCAATTTGGTGTTAATGAATGCCAGCTATAAGGAGCATTTCAAAACATAATGACCGCGAAGTTATTCGTTAAAGATCAATCGCTCCTCGCCAGGCGGTCGGTCCTGCGCTGAGAGAAATACCCTGGACCCCTTAAATGGAGGTTCGTCACAACAAACGTACAACCACACACGATTTTGCACAGCAGATCGTGGTCTGTAGTGAAGAGCAATGAACACAATGGCAAGTGATACCACAGACACGCTGGCGGGGTACTGCCGTTCATGTGAGCCACAGGCACGCGGTGGGAGGGGGGGGGGGGGGGAGGGTGCCGCTGCTGAAGTGCGCACACAGGCCCACTGGCGGGGTACTGCTGCTCACGTGAGCCAACAGACACACTGGCGGGGTACTGCTGCGCTCATACATAGGCACGTGAGGCCACCTGCCCCCCTTGCGGGGTACTGATGGTCGTACAAAGTCTGATTGCGCTCAAAAGTTGAATTGTTACTGCCGTCTCCCAGCCTTCAAGCAAGGGTCGATTTAATTAGATGGCATGTATGTAGCATGTCAGTTCTGTATCACTGGATCGTATGGAAGTGGCTTTGTCCAATTAAAAAAGTAGCTGAACGGGTTCTAAAGCCACTTTTTCAGACCGCTAGACATAAATGTTGGATATCAATACAGAGACAAAACTTGCATAGCTCAAATGCGGGAACAATCGGTCTGTTTTTAAGTCGTGTATTATTTGTCTATAGGATACAAATATATAGTAGGACTATTAAATCACACACAAATGATCTCAAAACTGCCGCTGACCCTGGACCGTCTGAGGAACGTGCGACGACTGAAGCGTCCTTGAGGGTCGTTATGCATTTGTTTCAAGTTGGTGGTCGAATAGTCTTCATACTAGATCTTTTTAGTTACGAAATGTGTTGATGACCACAACGAGCAACAGTATTCATGACACATTTTCCATGCGAACCGCCCGTTCACGCTTCGACTCCTGCCCGTTCCTGCTTCAGCTCTTGCCCGTTCTTGCTTTTACTCCTGCCCGTTCCTGCTTTAACTCCTGCCGGTTCAAGCTTCAACTCCTGGCCGCACCTGCTTCAACTCCTGGCCGTTCCTGCTTTAACTCCTGCCCGTTCAAGCTTTAAATCCTGGCCGCACTTGCTTTAACTCCTGCCCGTTCAAGCTTTAAATCCTGGCCGCACTTGCTTTAACTCCTGCCCGTTCCTGTTTCAACTCCTGGCCTTGTTCACGTCACGGGGTTTCCTCAAAGCCGACTCCAGTGCAGACATGTGCCACCCGGTGAGGTACGGCTTAGGCTCACATTTCATACAGACTCTCTTGTCCTACTGCTGTGACATACCTAATGCAATGCTGTTCAGTGGGAAAAAATTGCGGTCAAGACTAAGTGTTCCGGTTGTCATTAATCTGTTCTGGAGAAGTACATGCCTGGGAACCAAGTATAGCCGTGAGGACCCGTTCAGAGCGTTCCATAGCAGTTGTTGTACGAGGCCTTCATGGCTTGAGATTGTAATCCAAAATACAGGCTTCAGTAGGACGCGGAAAGGACCAGATAACCTCCACCAGCAATAATACAGTCGTAGGCTCGGACAACAAGTTGCCTGACGTTCACGATAAAAAGTCCAAGAGCAGTCGGATTCGGCGTCTGCGGCGGAGGAGCAATTAACGCGGGGAAGACGGTCGCTTATCAGTTATAATGAGTTGGGAAAATCCCCTTACGCCCACCTAGTCCCAAACTGATCCATTGTCTGCATTCCGATTTGTTCATGAACTTAAAGTGTCTAGACTAGAGCGAGGAGCTCATAACAGTGCCATAATGACATCACGTGAAGGCAGACGCTTTCATCTCAAGGCGATAGCTTCTGAGATGCTCCTAGCACTGTGTTGATCAAGCTGACCTCAAACAGGGCTATGATCTAAGGCCTCAAACGGAGCTATGATCTGAGGCTTCAAGCGGAGCTATGATCTGAGGTCTCAAGCAGAGCTATGATCTGAGGGTTCAAG